ATGTGAGTGTGGAGGGGGTAGGGACCGGTGGAGGCTGGTGACAGCACTGATTCTCGAAGGGAGGGGGCTGTAACGGGAGCGGACGGGGCCGCTTCTGTTACAGTGCCGGAGAGGATATGTGTGTCGAATGAACCAGCTTAGGTCGCCTCCGAAGGAGGGTTGTTCTGGGTGCCGGGTAGGCATTCCTTGAGGAACTAGGGGAATGCACTCATCGGTGTCCCAGTCATACTCTCTCCACGTTGGATCAGCGAAGCCGCGGTCCATGTGTGGGTCACAGTGGCGGCGACGTCGAGGCTTGCGGCCTTGCTGCCGCCGGGCTCTGGCACAGCGGCCTTGGAGCTGCTCCCAGCAGAGGGCTGGTGATGCGCTCTGGGGCAGTACCGGAGATGCCGGCGGCGGGCCGCGGGTGCGGCGGGGCTACCTTGCGGGGGCGGTGGATCGATGATCAGCATCGTACCGCCGGTACGCTTCGGCCTACCACCCTGCCTGTGATGCCGCGCTGGACCGCGGTGGGACTGATGAACCTTAGGGCAATTAGTTAAGCGCAGTGGTTGGTTGCGGGCCGAACAACGTCTGACCCGGACAACGTCCGGACCGCTGACAACTATATGCACTACACCCATGATCCGGGAAATCCAGAGCACACACGCGGGTGTTGTCAATCTGGGGGGGTACCCTGGTGCTTGGTGGCTGGAGATAGTCGGCAACGGGGAACCCGCGGGGAGCGACCTAATCCATCAGGCGAAATCTGGCAAGCATTCTGGCTCCCCTGGAAGGGCCGTTGATTGTGCCGGGTTGCTGGACATTGGGTGGGAAAGGGGACCAAAAATGTGTCCCCTTTTTTCTCTTTCGTGGACGCCACCTTGCCGTGGTAGGGGAGCTTGCGTGTCCCGATGATTACAGAGCTGTGCCAGCGGGGGTTTCGGCCCCGACAGGTCCTACAATGCCGGAGTGGTCTGTACGGAGAGGCCGCACTAAGAGCGTTCAACCCAGGAAGAAGGCCGACCTGATGTTTCCAGGCAGGCCGTCTGGGTCGAGCGAGAGGAGTTAGTCACCCCCGGAGGCATTGCACGCCGGTGCTTCGGCAACCGATGGGGGTGATTTTCTCTCTGCTCGCCCCATCGTGTTGGGAGACCGCCCCCGTCTGCATTGCACGCTGGTGCTCCGGCAGCCGGAAGAGGCGGGAACCCTGCGCCCGCGATGGTTCTTCTCGGGCCCGTGGTATAGACCAGCTACCCGGGGGAACTTGGGGACACCAGTAGGTCACGTCTCTGCTGGTGCGGACATGCCCGGCCGGTCGAGCTGCTGGGGGTAGAGAGGGATTGTCGAAAAAATGGCTGATTCTAATCAAAAGAAAAGGAAGGTAGAGCAGGAAGAGGGGGGAACTTCGGAGACCTTACCAGGAAGCTCATCCCAGACCTCATTTGCAGCGATGTGGCGGGAAGAGATCGAGATGCTCAATTTCGATTCAGACCCGAAGAAGACGAAGAACATGAAAATCCAGGACGAACTGACATACTCTCAACGTTCTGTGGAGGAACTGCAGGAGGAAGTTGGAGAGTGGTTGAGCACGTGGAAGGACAGGAAGTATATAAGCAAGGAATTTAAGGAGGAGACAATGGAACTCGTAAGCCAAACAGAAGTTTACGTGAGAGATATGAAGGATGAGGCTAGGGAGTTACATCGAAATATGGCGTACTACAAATTAATATACCAAGACAGCAAGGAAGCCGTAAAAAGATGAGAAGGGAAGGCTGCAGCCGGGGAGGAAGAAATTAGGAAAGAAAAAGAGACGGGGAGGAAATTAAGAGAAGAGATGGAGTTAGTCAAGAAGGAGAGGGAGGAAGACAAGAAGGAATTGGAAATGCCAAAGAAAGAAAGGGAGGAATACAGAATTAGGTCGAAAGAATATAAAAAGGAACTGGAGGATGCTAATTTTATGAAAGAGGAGACTTAGAAGTTATGCAAGGAGAGACAGGAAGAATTGATGATAAGAGAGGAGAGGATCAAAGAGCTAGAAGAGATGTTGAGATAGAGCAGAGAGAGGGAGAAAGAATTGGAGGATTGGTTGGCAAGGGTGAAGGAGCCCTGACCAAAGAAATAGGTTGGGTCAGACAAAAAGGTGGAGGGGATCTGCGAAGAGACACAGACGGAGGTGGCAAGCTTGCACACCCCCGGGCTGACAGCAACAGTCCTCCTTGATAGGGAGGAAGAGAAAGACACAGCTGTCCATTCAATGGAGTGGACAGCTGTGAATGAGGAAGAGAAAGAGGAAGCAAGAGAGAGGAGGAAAGTGGGGACACACCAACCACTAAGGTGACGGTGCCCCATAACTACAGAAGGAAAGGGAAGAAATCGGGGGGCTGTACAGGGAGCGGCACAACGCCCCTGAACCCCTACCATCCAGGGAGAAAGGAGAGAAGTAGCCGCGGCTACCTATGACAGCCGCGGTCATAGTCAGGTTGGAGAGAAGGAGCCTCGTACGCCGAGGCGATAAGGAGAGCGACGAAGGAGATGCTCCTCAGGGAATTAGGGATCCCTGGCGTGGACACATAGAGGAGCGCCGATGGCGCCTTATTGGTTCGCGTCAGGGAGCCGGGTCCTGAGGGGGAAAAGGCTGACCGCTTGGCGGAAAAACTCAGGGAGGTCTTACCGGAGGTAATTGGACGACCAACAATGAAATGAGAGGAGAGGTCATCCTCACCGGATTTAAAGAGGCGGCCTCCCCGGAAGAAGTAGCAGCGGCCCTGGCGGGGAGTACGGGCTGCGACAGGAGGAGGGTGGAGTTGGGCCCCTTGAGGTAGGGACCCCGGGGTAGATGGGTCGCGTGGGCGCGACTACCACTGGCTGCTGCTGTGACGGCGGCCAAAAAGGAAGGGTGTGCACTGGGGTGGTTAATGGTCAGCATTACAATGCTGGCAGCCAGACCACCCCAGTGTTATAGGTGCTGGGGTCTCGGCCACACCAGACACAATTGTCCCGCTGCAGATGACCGCAGCGGGATGTATTACCTGTGTGGCCGAGGTGGACCAGCCCTCCAAAGTTAGGGCGGACAAGTGGTAGTGGTAGTGGTCCACTTGGTCACCAGAACATCAAAAGGCGGCGCCCTGGCCTCTGGGAACGGTGGTTGAAGCGGGCTTTTGTGCCACGGTGGCAGCCCTGTTGGGCTAAAGCCGGTTTCTCCCATCTCAAAAGACAGGGTGTGAGGGGTGGGTAAGGATAGCGGTGGTTAAAAAGGAACCCGGGCTTGTGAGCTCACCGGGTTCGCTTCCCCCCTCTCCCCCCACCCCTCGGGGAAACGTTGACGGGCAACCGTCTGGATCCGAGGGGCCGATAAGCAGTTACGTGGCTCCGATCCCCCAGCCCAGGTCCCTTCGTCGTGCTTCTCGGAGAAAGTTTAGCCGGTAAGAGTCCGGCATAACCCCGCACCCTTCCCCGGGGGTGCGGGGTATCCATGAGGATTCTCTCTTCGTAAAAAAAGGAAGAGTTTCGGCCCCTGGCAGATTCTACCATGCCGGAGTGGTCTGTACTGATGGACTGGATCAAGAGCGCCTGACCAGGCTGGGTGACCGGCCTGGTCTCGACCAGACTGGTCGCAGAGCGGATGGGAGGAGACTATCATCCCTGGATGCATTGCACGCCGGTGCTCCAGCAGCCAAAGGGAACGGATTCCTCACTCATCCGCCCCAGTCTGACCGTTACGGTCGAACCGGGGCGGAGGGACGAGTACCTGTACCAGGACTCCACCCCATAGGGATCCTCCCTCCATGGTGCCTGGGAAGCGGAGGGTGCTCCGGGCCGCATGGGCGTATTCCGAGGTCGGGGTCGGGGCACTCTCGAACGTCCTATAAAAGGACCCCGCTCTCGGAGGCATTGCACGCCGGTGCTCTGGCAGCCAAAGAGAGAGGACCTCTTCCCCTCATCTGACCTGGCCACCGTCAGGCGGACAGAGGATCCCACATAAGGGTCTGCATGCACACCATAGGGTCTAACCACATGATACCCGGGGGATAGAAGGGTGCCTCGGGCCGCTCGGGCTTATTCCGAGATCGGGGTCGAGACACCCTCGGACGAAGAGGGGAAAGGACCTCACCTTCGGAGGCATTGCACGCCGGTGTTCCGGCAGCCAAAGAAGGTGGGCCGATTTGCCTGCTGGACCAGGCGGGCAAGATGTTGGAGCGCATCGTCACGGACCGCCTCGTCCAGCATCTGTCCTCAGATGGGTCGTACCTCCACGACAGGCAATATGGGTTCAGGCCCAGACGTTCAATGCTGGACGCTATACAGCACATCCGGGACCTGTCCCATGCCGTCATGAAGGAAGGGAGCGGGGTGTTGTTGGCGGTATCCTTAGATATCACCAACGCCTTCAACACACTGCCCTGGCCGGAGATTGGGCGGGCGCTCGAGCACCATCGAGTGCCTGCCTCTCTCCGGCGCATCCTGGCAGCCTATTCTGGAGACAGGGACCTCGCCTATTCGATTCAGGGCGGGGTCCAGGGCTAGCGGTTAATGGAGCGCGGTGTCCTGCTGGGGTCCGTTTTAGGCCCCCTGCTATGGGACATCACGTTCGATAGGGTTTTGCGAACGCCCCACCCCCTGGCTGCCATGTCATCTGTTATGCGGATGACACTTTGGTGCTGGCCGGGGGAGAGGACTGGGGGGAGGCCCGCCTCAACGCGGAGGCGGCATTGGCGACGATGGTGGGCACCATAAGTGACCTGAGTCTAAAGGTGGCGCCCTAAATAACGGAGGCCGTCTTTTTTCACGGCGGCGGCCGTGGGGCGCCGCCGGAGACCCAGGCCTTGGTGGACGGAGTCCGCGTCCGCGTCGGGCCCACGATAAAGTATATGGGCCTAACGTTGGATGGCTGATGGGACTTCAGGGCCCGTTTTAGGGACTTGGCCCCCCGAGTCAGGAAGGCGGGTCTGGCTCTGACCAGACTGATGCAGACCCAGGGGGGTCCGGGTTGGCACGCGCGCCGCCTATATGTTGGGTATATGGTTCTCTCGATCGCCCTCTATAGGGCGCCGATATGGCCGCCCCAACTATTGGCCACCACCCAAGGCAAGAGCCTCATGCGCCAGGCGCTGAGGCCGGTGGCAGTGAGGGCGATTCGGGGGTTCCGCTCCATTTCACATATAGCGGCGACGACCCTGGTTGGTTCCCCCCCCGTGGATCTCCTTGCCGAGGAACGCAGTATCCTCTACTGGAGAGACAAGGAGCTCCGCGAAAGGGCGGGACTAACGGCCAGGGTTTTGGTTGCCCTGTGGTCCCGGGTGGTTGTACGGACCCTGGAGCGTTGGGCGAACGCGATGTCTGACCGCGGGAATTCGGGCGGCTCACGACGACGGCTGTCCGTTCCTGTCTGAAAAAATTCGCAGGCAGGATGGGGAGCGGGCTGACATTTCATCTGGTGCAGGTGATGACCGGACACTGGTGTTTCGGTAATTACCTGCACCAGATAAAGAAGAAGTCCACGACCGGGTGCCACCACTGCCCGGAGCCGGATGACACCGTGCATCACACACTGGCCGAATGGGCCCAGCATGGGCCAGGGAGCGCGGTGTCCTGGCCCGGGTAGTGGGGTACGAGGAGGATGAGTTGTCGCTCCCGTGCATGGCAAGAGCAAGCGAGCGGGAGCGAGGAGGTATGGGGAGAAGCGGTCGCCTTCTACCGCAGCGTGCTGTCGCGGAAGGAGGCTGCCGAGTAGGAGCGTGGTCCCGAAGACTGCCGCAGGCAGCGGCGGGGAGGGCGGCGCTCCCCAGGTTTGTGCAGCGTGCCCGAGGCGGGCCGGGGAGGAGGACAGGCCACCGGCACGCCGGAAGCCGCCTACTCGGCCGCCTCGGGCCCGACTTCGGACGCGCGGGGGGAGGGGGGTGACGGGTGTTTAATATCTACCAGCCTCCCCCTGGCGCGTCGGTTAGGGTAGGAAAAGGGGGGAATGGAAGCATAGGTAGGGCTGGGCTCCACTCCCCCGCCCCCTTCCTTGGGCAATGGGGGCGCGGAGGGAGGGTAAATGCCCCTTCTCTCCAAGTATTCACCAGAAGGCCAACCCGGTCGCGAAACTGACGGGGGGCTGCGCCGTGGACGCCTTCAGTCGGACAGGGTGCGGTACGCGATGGCGTGGGGCTCCCGGAGAGCCCTGAGGCCGGGGTGTTTGGGAGGGAATGCGGGAGCAGTTTCCCTAACTCCCATCATCACGGATCGGATGGTACACATCCCGCAGGGGTTTCAGTCAGTAGGAGTCTGACATAAACCCCGACGCCCCCAATGGGTCGGGGTATCCATGATGGATTTCCCCTGCGTTACATCGGCATCGCACGCCGACACCACGATGCCCACTAGTTCCTCAGCCCCCTCCAGGTCCGAGGAGGCGGATGGCCCACACTATGTACCTGTGATCAGACAGTGTCTCGCCCTCCACCTCCACCTTCCATTCCCGGAATAAGCGGGCAGCTGAGGGGATCGCCCAGGTCAAGCCGATGACCGACTCACCCCTCAGCCGCACACAGGTGCTGGCCGACCCCTTGTTCATTAGCAAGAGATGTAGGCCCGCTGCCCATTCGGTAACCGCCTCGCCCCTGGGGTCCTCCTGCCGCGGACTGCAACCCCATCCTACCGAGTGAGCGTTGAAGTCTGCGGCAATGACGACAGGTCGGGGGTGGCATCAACGTACCACCTCTCCGATCCCGTCTAGGACCCCCTTGATATGGGCGAGGCATCCCAGATCTTGTCTGTTTCTCCAGTGGTGGAGGTATACCCCTACCACCGTGATGGGCCCGCAGTCGACCGCGACGAACAAGGACCTTCTTTCCCTGATCTTGCAGGAAGGGGTCCCCACCGCGGGGTTTGCCACCATGGTCACCGAGCCATCACGACTGCCGATTCAGCCCGGGCTGACCGGCACGAAGTGTGGCTCGGTGGCCACCCCCAGCCCGGCACTCAGCTCTAGGATCCTGTTGGACCACAGGTCCTGACCACGGGTACCGCGGCCGAGGTTGCCCTGTAGGACCCAGAGTGGCGGCTAAGCCTTCGTTGCCTCCTCCGGGCTACCTACTTCCATTCCCTCTCGGGAGACCGACGGCAGAGCCGCTTCGGTCTCCCCCGAGGGGGCCTCGGCCTTGTTGTTGCTGGCTTCTTCGTTAGTGGGTACCTCCATTGGCGCGGATTCTTGGGGAGTCCCTACCTCAATGCAGCTCACCCCTCGAGAGTATGTGGGGAGCTCGTTTACCTGAGGAGTCAGGGGTGTCTCTCCCACTCACTCCTCTACTGCGTTTGTTGGGGGCTTTCCCTGAGGGTCCACCCTCCTCACCTTTCCCTTTGGCCTGGTGTCTGGGTCCCTGTCTTCCTCCTTATCCTTCTGGTCCCCTTCCTCCAGAGACGTTCCATCCGACCCCTTCGACCTCTTCCTCATCTGTGTCATATCCATTGCGTCCTGTGAGGAGTCCCATCCAAGGTCCTCCCATTCCTGCGATATGATCACGGTCGATGCCGATTTTCCTACACCGGGTCCCTCCCTGGTGTCCGGGACGTCGTTGGTCCCTCCTCTACAGGGTCTCTCGTTGTAGGGGTGCCAGGTTCGGCACTCTCCTCCTGAAACACCTGGTTGGAAGGAGTCTCCGCGGGGGTTCCGGCCTCCCCCGCCTCGCCTCCTCCCTCCTCAGTCTGCTTCCCCTCCGCTCTTTTCCCTTCTTTTCTTTTCTTTTTTTGGGGGGGGGCTTGCAGGCCAGCCCTCCGATCTTATGACCAGAGGGCCTGCCCGCCTCGACGCAGACAGAGCACCAAGCCGCCGCTCGGCACTGTTTGGCGCGATGTCCGGGGTTACCGCAACGGTAACAAAGACTGCTGCGGTCGACGGCGCTTGTGCATCGCTCGCGCACGTGCCCCCACTCTAAAGAGCGGTAACACAATAGTGCGCGAGCGGGCAGCGCCGCCACCCCGACACGGGTCCATCCTACGGACCCGTTCCGCGGCGGCGATCTTCGCGGCCATCACCAACGGACACCGCACCACTATAGCCTCTACGCCCCGCGAGACGCTCATCCCTCTCGCAGACACCTCCACGGGAACGCATCCCTCAGCGTGGGCTATTGCGGGCGCTATCTCATCGGCCCCGGTTGTCGGGTCCAGACCGGATAGTTGCACCGCTGCAAACTTTTCCGGTCTCTGAACCCGAAAACCAGGGCTCTTTTCCGCCGCTAGCTTGCGGAGTTCCTCCGCAAGCCGGTCGGCGGAAAGTCCTGACTTGAGGCCACGCACTTCGACCAACATGGACGCAGTGAGGGCTGTGCGTACCCTCAGAGACGTCTTCCCCAAATCCATCGGTTTTATTCGGCGCCTGGCCTCGGCCATAAATTCGTGGTAGCGGCCTTCCGGGCATGTGGCAGCGACTGCCGCTGATTTCGGTGGCTTCGGTCTTTCCTTTCTCGCCATTCGCGCCCCCTTCCCAGTTCCTACCTTCATGGCAGGATTATGAGGTCCCCCCTTCGCCTCCCCCTGCGTCTTCTTCTTCCCCCTCCTGGTCACCTATGCCCAGATCTCCTCCCTGGCCTGCACCTGGTTACCTTCCGGGATGACGGCATTGAGTAGCCCTTTCCCTACGGGATGACGGGCCCACTCCAGCAATTGCTTCGCTGGGACTCCCATCGCCGGTTTCTGTCCTTGGGCTTGGACTTCCAGACTCCCAGCCCGGGGACCTGAGAGGAGACTCCTGCCTCCATTCATTGCCCTCTCCCGTTCCATCTTCCTCCTCCTTCTCTTCCTCTCCCTCTCCCGCTTAATTTTCCTTGCCAGCTCCTTGTCCCACTGTCCCGGTTCAGCTGACCGTGGCGGGACCTGGGTCTTCTCCGGAACCGGCGTCTCCTTCCTCCTGGGAGCCGGTGTTGGCATCGAGGCTTTCACCACTTTGGGCACTCGGCTGCCCTTTCTCTAGACGTCGTTGCGGGCCACAACCCTGAGGCTGTCCAACCCCGCTCCGACGCCGCGAGAAGGGCCCGGCGCGCTCAAGGTGACTTCAAGGGCCTCTCTTGCCCCCACCGGTCTCCGTACTGGGGGAGGGGGCTCCTCCGGGAGATTGTCGTTAAACGATGGCGTCTCCTCGGGGAAGCCCCTCCTCCCGCCTTCTCTGCCTCCTTTCTCGAGAGGAGGAAAAGGGGAGGTTTCGCTACCTTCCTTTTCTTCTTCCTCTTCCTTTCCAGGGTTCGGGCGTCCCTGAGTTCATCCTATGTCGAGGTGGACCCCCGTACGTCCGCATACATCTTCTTCCTGCAATCAACCTTGGAGGGGTTAGAGGGAACTGCTGGGAGTCGAGGTCCAACGGGGCGGTGGCCTGGAGGATTCTCAATTCCTCCCCCAGCTGCCCCGTCTCGTTCCTCAGCCGCCTATTTTCCCCTCCCAACCCATCCATTTCCCTCCCAATGGAAGACTTCCTCCCCCCGTCCTGCTCGGCCACTCTGGAAATCAGGGTGACCAGAGCCGCCTCGGAGATGGCTAGGGCGCGGTAGACTAGTCCCACAAAGGTATCCTTTAAAGTCCTGGACCTTTGTGCGACCAGTCTCACTGCGCCCAGTGCACGGCCAATTTCCAAGGCTAACTCAGAGGTTCTCGCTTCTCTCAGGAGCTCAGCCGAGGCAGGATCTCTGTAGACCTCCTCGGCCGGGCGTGTATCTCCTAGGGAGCAAAACAGCCCTTTGTCGAGGAGGTCCCGGACATCCTTCTCCAACCTTGCCTGCTCCTGCATCTTCTTCTCCTCTGCTTCCCTCTCCTTCCTTTCCCTGATCCCCACTCCCAGAAACGCGGTCACAGTTCTCCCACGCTTCCTTTGGGTAGGAATCAGGACAGGAGTGGTTACCTCCGTTATGGCCGAGCTCCCGCTGCGACTGGTGATGATGGTATCATCCCTCGCCCTTTTCCTGCTGTTGGCGTTCCCTCCCAGCAGTTCCCTCCGTTCTCGACGTAGACGCCGCTGTTGTTGCGCTGCTCGCCGTTGTTGTCCTAGCGGCCCACAGCGTCGCAGCCCGATTAGACCGGACAGCTCCTTCAGCCGCCCCCGGAGTTGCGACTCGGACAACCTCAACCCTGAGCTCCATTGCCCTCGACGTCGAGGACTGGTCGGTCCTCGGCTCCAGGCTCTGAGCGGTCCTGCTCCGAATGGGGATCCTGGATCCCTGGGATAGGATTATGTCAGAGCGGATCACGAGTCCGGTTTTCCGCCCCGACGTCTTGACCTCCTTCCCAATCCCCTTCCCGATCCTTTTCCCCCTCTTCCTCAGTAAAGATTCCTTCGCGCGTCCCCCGATTCTCAGTGGGGGCGGACCCCCTCTTCGACGAGAGGGGACCCGGCTTGCCCCTGGTACCGGAGTCCCCACGGCCCTGGGGCTCCGGACTCCAGGGACTTCCGCGTCCCGCGTTGGGTGGCCGTCCTTTTTGTCCTGACCGTCGGGATTACCTCTCTACCCCCGCGGGCAGGGGAGAGCTGCCAGCTCCGTGCCGGCGAGGACGGTGGCGAATCCTCCAAAGATGGCACCTCGGAGGCTAGCCTTCCGAGGCCCATAGCCTTACCCTCCTCGGCGGGTGAGGAGG